TAGGAATGCACATTCTCAGCAGGGGTTCCAACCGGAAGGAACAGGTTCGAAGCCCTGGTTCTGCTCTGTCCTATAGGGTCTGAATTGACTGGGCAGCAATGGGTTGGTAATTTGGCAGGAACCCTGGGTCCAAGGGGCACGCGCTGCTTTCTTGGTGATATGAGGTCCTCAACTCTCTGCTCACTTCCCTTTCCTTTTAACTCTTGTAAGATAAAAGCTGATGCAGGCCACACCCCAGGGAAACTCCCTTTACATTGGATCAGGAATGTGATCTGAGTAAGGATGTTACATCCCACTCTAATCCTCTTTAACATAACCTAATCTTGCCTCATTAACCACAGGGAGAGATTAGGATTTACAACACATAGGAAAATTACATCAATCACAAAATGGAGGACAACCACACAACACTGGGAATATTGGCCTGACCAAGTTGACAAATATTTTGGGGGGACACAATTCAGTCCATGACTGTATCTTATACTTCAATCTGATACTATTCAACTCCTCTAGCAGTAGCCCAACTTGTAGCTCCAGAGACTCTTACAGTCCCTCTTTTTAGTCCTGGAATGTTGAGATAGGGGTTAGAAGGAAGCATTTTCTTTCTTAGAGGATCCCCTGTGATGACAGCTGAAGGCCATAAGCAGCTTCACTGGATATTGTGGTCCTTTGGGGGATTTGGGGGCTGACCCCAGCCCTTGGTCTCATGACACCTTCCTCTTTACCTTGTCTCAGTAAAAGACAGCTTTCAGTGCAGTCAGTGAGACAGAGGCATAATATGCTGACCATGCTATCTAATTTTAATATGGCTTTCTTAACAGCTGTGTTTTTGAGAAAAACATATTTTTCCTCGGTGGTCAAAACTAGCATGTGAAACCATATGCCCTGAGGGGTCTTGAACAAGAGACCATCTGCACCCCTCAAAATACATGTACTCAGGAAGAGTATTGTCTGGGTTCTGTTGCCAGCAAGGTATTTTTTGCAAGATAGACAAAGAAAAATACATGTAAGCATCTTATGATCACTAAGCATCCTGTGAAACTCTGTAATCTCTAATTTAGCCATTATTAATTGGTAACCAATCAGTGTTTTGCAGCTATGCACTCAGAACCCATAAGGTACCTTCCCCTCCCCCCTCCCCCGAGAAATAGTCCGCCTCCCACTTCCCTAATCAGAGATGCACCAATCAAGAAAAACCTGTAGCTGATGCCTGCTGTAGCAGTATAATTATCCCTGATTCAGGCCCCCTCTTTGGATACCACTGTCTCATCTTAATGAGCAGTGCTGTTCCCAGTTTGAACTGTAATCTTTGCTTGGAATAAACCTCTATGATTTTATCTTAAACTGACTTGGTTTTCTGTAGCACGCCAACAGCCTCACACCTCACACTTTAGCAATTGCCAACAAGTCAGCATCCCCAGTTTCATCTACTCTGCACAGCCTGGTCTCTGGGGAAAGATCCGCCTTCCATACCTGTACATCTCCAACTTGAGGAGTACTTCTTGCCCTACACACGACTGCCACAGGCTTTCTCTCCACACCACACCTCCACCCCGGGCACCTATGATAGGAACCAGTGCTTAGTAGGCCCATGGTAAATATTTGTAGAATGAATAGATGGAGCCCTGCCCTCACAGAGTTTGTATTCTGGTTGAGGAAACAGATAATAACAAACTTAGTCCGTACACAGGAACTCAGATTGTAATAAGTGCTATGAAGGGAGGAAACTGAGTGATGTGATGCAGAGTAAATGCAGCGAGGGGCTGTTCCAGATGGACAAGTAGTGGGAATCTAGGTGAAAGATAATGGTGGCTTGGACTAGGGCATAGCAGTGGATACAGAGGAGGTGTACCTTTGGTGCTGGAATTGGTGACTGATTAAATGGCAGTAGGGGCAGAGTGAGGAAAAAAATGGAGATTCCTAAATCGTTTTTTTTTTTTTTCAACATACTGATACTTTTTGCTTTATCAATGTTGTTGTTGTTGGGTGCTGTTAAGTCAATTCCAACTCATAGCGACCCCATATGACAGAGTAGAACTTCCCTATAGGGATTTCTTAGCTGTTAGCTTTACAGGAGCACATCACCAGGTGTTTCTCCGCAGGAGCCACTAAGTGGTTTGAATTGCCAACCTTTCAGTTAGCAGCCGAACGCTTAACCATTGCACTACCAGGGCTCCTTGAAGACTCCTTAATTTTGACCTGAGCAACTAGGTGGATGTTGGTGTCATTTACTGAAATAGGAAAGATTGAGAGGGCATGAATCACAGCTCCATTTTTAACATGTTAAATTTGAGAATCCATTATAGGTCCACATGGAGATGTCAAATAGGCAATTGGATATGAGTCTTGGAGGTCACAGAAGAGTTCTGGGAATATAAACTTGGGAATCTTCTGCATATAGATGGTGTTTAAAGCCACGGGACTGGATGTTATTTGAAGAGGCTCAGGTCAAGCCGTGGGGCCTCCTGTTGAGAAGCATAAGTGTGCAAGGAAGGGCTGAGAAGGGGTGGCCGAAAAAGTAGGAGGAAAACCTTGAGTATGACATACTGGAAGGCAAGAGAGGAAAGGTTTGAGAGAGAGCAGCTGCCAACATTCAGATTCCAGCCAATGGCCAAGACAAAACGATCTGAACGCCAACCTGCTGGTTTTTCTGGATCCCATCTGTGTGCCCTGGCTCTGAGGTGCTTCTCACCCCCTAGCAATTCTCAGTCTCAGACTTCAACTTCTTTCTCTTAAACTTGATTCTTCCCTAAAAAATGGAGACTGTCTCTATGCCTGATCCAGTTATATACACATTATGCTCATTCATCCAATCATGCGATACTTTTTTCAGATTGAAAAAATAATTTTAATAAGAATTTTTTATATGTGTATCACACAGCTTTTGCCAGTTCAGCTTTTTACAGGTATACAACTTATTGACAACAATTACACTAATGGGCTATGCAACCCTACCCTTAATTAATGCGGTATTTCCATCACTGTTAACCCCCATTTTCTCCCTCCCTCCTGCCCCTGGTAACCACTAATAAACTTTGTTCTCTATACATTTGCCTTTTCTTGTCTTTTTATATAAGTGGTGTCATACAATATTTGTCCTTTTGTGAGTGACTTATTTCACTCAGCATCACTTATTTTTTTTTAATTTAATTTTTGTTGTTGAGAATATACACAGCAAAACATACACCAATTCAACAGTTTCTACGTGTACAATTTTGTGACATTGATTACAGTCTGAGTTGTGCAACCATTCTCACTCTCCTTCTGTGAGTTGTACCTCCCCCATTAACATAAACTCACTGCCCCGAGGTATGTATCTAATCTTTCGAGTTGCTGTTGTCAATTTGATCCCATGTAGATAGTTCTTAAAAGTATAATGCTCAAGGCAGACATTTTTTAGTAGTTAAACTATTGTTTGGTTTTAACAAGACTTCAGGGGATATTTTTGGTTGAAGGTTTAAAGATTAACTCAGGGCAATAGTTTCAGGGGTTCCTCCATAGCTCCAGAAAGTCTGGATTCTCTGATAATTTGAAATTCTTTGATCAGGATTTTTCTATAGAATCTTTGATCAAAATGTTCAGAAATGGTATTCGGGCACCATCCAGTTCTTCTGGTCTCATGGCAAAGGAGGCAGTTGTTCATAGAGGCAATGAACACATCATACAATTACATATTGAATGTCTATTATAATGTGCCATGCCCTGTGGATAGGAAAAGAGACCTAGTCCAGTCACTCAAGGTGCGCTCAGCTGCTTACAGTATATCGGAGAAGACAGGCAAATAACTACCTAAGTAAATATATGGTTACAAAGTGAAAAGTGTCATGAAGGAAAAGCAGAGGGAATCATTGAAAGAGCCTGTCACAGTGTTACCTTGTTTAGATTATGCATGACATGCACAGTATGTATCCTTCACACATAAATACTTACTGTACCCCAGGGTCACCCTGGATGGACATTTGGGGGACTGGGTCTAGTCTTCATCCTGCTACAAACTTACTGGGTGCCTTTGAGCAAGTCCTCTTCCCTCTCTGGGCCTGATTCCTCTTCTGTAAAATTAAAGGCTGAGGGGTAGACTAGATCACAGGTTCTTAACCTAGGGCCTGTGGATGCTTCAAGGATACATACACTCCTAAAAATCTATGGAAAATACAACATCTTTTTTCCTTCTAGACAGTGGCCTACAGCTTTTATCAGATCCTTAAGAGGAGTTGTGACTCAAAGAAACCCAAGGACTGGAGAAGAGATGGTTCTATGATGATGTGAGCAGGGAAAACAGATGACAAAATGATGGACTCTGTAAGTGAGTTTTTTCTTCTTGGACACTATACTTCTCCCTTGGCCATGTGTGTAGCAGGTGAGGAAAGGGCCTAATCCTCCTTCTGTGGATGGTGAAGCTTAGTCACCATATAATGGTGACCCAGAGGACCACTGGTGGTCCCTCTCCAGGAGCAGAATGAAGAAAGATTTCCGACCCCATACAGGAAGTCTCGATCACCCTTTGTGTCACTAGCCCCACGGTGACCTGTCCTGGGTCCATCCCATCTGATCTTTCCATCATTCCTGACTGGGATGTGGACACAAATGCATATCCATACTAGAGGCAAGGTTGGGATACTTACACAGAGGAATTTTGATTAGAAACTAAAAGGTACCCTCCCTCAAAAGAAAGCACTTTGAGATTAAGTCTGCAGAGTCAAAATTCTTGTCTTGAAAGAATGTCTAGCCAAAAGATAGCTTGATTGGAATAGTCTTTGGGACATGAATGTCCCTTGTCTCCTCTCAGGATATGAAACAAAAATACTCTGATTTGAGTGGGAGGGAAATTCCCACAGGGGTCTCTCTGAGGTCAGATGAGTTTCTAACCTTCCACAACCTGTGTCTCAGTCTCCTACCAATGTATGGCCAGACTATGGCTCCCCTGGAGACAGAGGAGTTTCCCTGGGGTCCTAAGAGGCTGCAAGTGCATGAGTTAGGAGTTGTGCATTATATGTGGAGTGGGAAGGACAAAAAGGCAGAGACAACAGCCTGTGCATAGCCATTGTGTTTTATTGGATCTGGTGTATTTCTTATTTACAAAATATACAGAAGAGCCAAAAATGCAAAGCAGTCAACAGTGTTCTGATGGGAAAAGGGGTTCTCTCCCTCAGACCCTGGCTGGCTAGGAGGGTGACTGAATGGGACAAGCAGGTATACTAAGGGGTGGCAGCATGGCAGGGGTGCTGACAATGAGATGGGACCTGGGATCTATGGTCCCTGCCCTCTAAGTGTGCTCAGGGACATCTCTGGGCAGATTGGGTAGAGCAAGAGGAAACCCTAGGTGGGAACTGAGGTCATGTAGGCTTTGGGGATGGAGCCTGAGTTGATCAAAGATTCTAATGAATGCCTCCACACCTGGGTTCAGATGTTATGCCTGCCTCCCTCCTCCCCCTTCCTTCTAAGGCATTCACTGGAAGAAGCGATAGAAGCCCAAGTTCAGGAAGGTCCCTGACTTGCTCCATGCCACCAAATCTAGAGGACATGGCAAATGAAAATCCAGAGCAACCAAAATGCGTGATGAGCAGAGAGGATAGGCTGAAACTTTAGCAGGCATCAGTGAGGACATCTCCCCACTCAGATTCCCCTGCCGCCACCACCACCACACAAGCAGGAAGGAAGGAGAGGAAGGAATTCCAGGAATGAGCCAAACATCAGGATCTCAGGCTCTCCTATACTGAAGAGGGTATGGAAAATTTCTGGAGTGCTTCCACGGAGATAGGGTCTTCTGAAGAGCCTGGAAACTCATATTTCAATGGCCTAGGAGTAGCAGAGCTATGGCGTGGCATGCCTGAGCTCTCAGTGACAATCAACCCAGGCGTTTCTGCCCTCTTACCCCAGCCACCTCCTAGGACCTAGCCACTGGCCCAGGCCCAAGACTCCTCCCTCTACATTCTTGTCCCCCTCCCACAGGGCTTTCAAAGTCTGGTCAGAAAGGCCAGTCGGCACCAAGGACAGAGCATCCTCTTTGAGAAGGGAGTCTTAGGGGAAATGTTTCTGAGATCAGGGATGGGGGGAGCACCATAGCAGGAAACATTCTGTCTAGTGTCATGGTTTCTACAGTGGTGGTAGGAGGTAGGGGGCCACTCATTTTCGACAGCAGGGGCACTCTCAGCACATGGGTGTCAGGCAGGAAGTGGGTGGGAGCTGTTAGCAGCTCTAGACCCTAGGCAGCACCCCCTAGATGTACTCTGCCCGCTCCCTGGCCCCTTCAGCTCCAGTGATCTGGGCTACTGTATCCCCAGGCTCTTGGTTCCCTTCAGCCCCCAGGGCAGGGCTAGGGTGGGGACAGACCTGGGAAGAGAAGGGTGAGGTCCACCTGAACAAGGGCTAGAGCATGGTCCCCCCAGGACACACTGACCCCCTCTTCTGGGGAACTAGATGACATTGTCAAAGAGCTGCATGGACCTCATGATGTTCTCATCCTGTGGCCGTGGTATGAAGGAGGCAGATTGGAGAGAGAGAAAGAGAAACAGCTTGTCAGGGACAGGGAGAGACACACTGAGTCAGAGATGGGGACATTCAGAGATAGAGAGGCAGAGAGGAGGGAGATACCCAGGAAGACCTGAAGTGGGGAAGGAGGCAGGCTTCTCCCAGTTGTGAAGGAACAGGGACAGAACAGGATTAGGGTGTGGGGGTGGGTTGAGGCAGCTGTACTCTGCCCAGAAGAATCTTCCCCTTCATCACTGAATCAGGCCCTGAGTCTAGACCAAGGAAGTGTGGAGGGTAGGGTCCTGTACCTTTTGACAAGACTCAATGAACTCCTCAATGGTCACCACACCATCCTTGTTCCTATCCATCTTCTGCAAGAAGGTGGTCCGGTGAGAGAACAGGAGGGATGGCAGGAGAAAGTTAGGCAAAACACAGGTAAGTTACCTGGAAGGACTTTATCTCCTTCCCTTCACTCCAAGACCCTCCCGCCTACCCAGTCCCAGGTACCTGAAAAAAGCTCTCCACATGTTCCCTTGGGGCCTCCTCCCGGAGTGCAGGATACGTGTACTTGCCCATCATGTCATAGATGGACTTCATGATGTCAAGCATTTCCTGTTAGGCCAAGAGAGAAAAGGATCCCTCCTCAGAGCCTCCAACCTCTAAACCAGGAGGCCTAGAGCCTAGAGCAGACCTCACCCTTTGCTGGTGATGCATATGTGGGTCGTGTTTCCCTTCCGTAGGCCCTTTGTACCCCACATACACACGGCCCCCAGGCCTGCAATTGCTCCGCACCTCCTTGGTGATGCAACCATCCTTGTTGAGGTCATACAAGTTGAAGGCCCAGTTTAGCCTGTCGTCTATGGTTCCCCGAAGAATCACTGACAAACCAGCCACAAAGTCCTGGGAAGGAGGCAGGGGGAGCTATATCTTCAGATACCCTTCACCCAACCCCTCTCTCTGTTTGGTATGGAGATCCTGGCCCTGGAGCCCTTGGAAACAGGCTTCCCGAGCCCACCTTTCCCAGCTCACCTCAAAACTGACAGAGCCATCATGATTGGTGTCAAAGGCATTGAAGAGAAAAGTGGCATAGGTACTGGAGTCTGTAGGATGAGTGTGAAGAAGTAAGCTTAGCTTCTGGACAGGAAAGGACTTCCTACCTCTGTGGGGCTCCTCAAACCCCTCTCTCATCACCTTGGCATTCTTGGCCCCTCCAGAACCCTCTCTCCCACTTGGCCTATAGATGAATAGCTGCGTCCCCTCTGGCCTTGCCACCTCACCTCCTTGAGGAAAGAACTGGGAGTAAATCTGCTTGAAGTTCTCTTCATTGACAATTCCGCTTGGACATTCCTGGGGGGAGGCAGACCAGGCTGAGGGCAGACAAAATCCCCTTCTGCTCATCCACGGCCCCATCTTCCATGCCCAGAGACTCCCAGAGACAGGGAATATCTTCATGCCTCTAGGGGACTCACCATGTAGCTTTTGTAATAGGAGGCAAGACTTCTCCCCAGTGCACAAATTAAACCGTAAACTAAACTGCCAATCTACAGGCTCTTTGCTAGCCCTATCCTTTTCCAACAGGCCACACCCAGAAGTTCAGTCTGAGGGGCCTCCCTGCCCCTCCCTTTCCCCTTCCCCCTCACCGTTTCTGAGAATCCCTGGATAACCACCCCCTGCCGTAACTCTCCCTCAGTTCTGCCTTGCTTGTACTCACATTCTTGAAGCCCCGGTACAGCACCTGCAACTCCTTGCGCGTGAACTTGGTTTGCTCCTGCAACTGCTCCAGACCCTCGGGCCGGTGACATACAGTGGACAGTTCAAACTCATCCTCCACGCTGTCTGCGGGGGACGGGGGGGGGGGGACAGCCGCGCCTCAGGCCCGGCCCCCACGCCCCCTCCTCAAAATTATGGACCCATCCATCCCCCCTCTCTCCAACACCGGAGATCAGTCTGCCTGTTCCCTGGACCCCGAGCCGAAGACATCAAGGCAAGGAGAAAAGGCACTGGTCAGCTTCAAGGTCTATCAGTGCGCCCGGCTCAAGGCCAGGCCTGGCCCCAGAGCCAGGAGTTTGACTCGGCGCCCACCCCTGGATCCTTGGTTGGAGGGGAAGGCCCCCTGTCCCATCTTTGTCCCAGAAGGCAAGGAGCAAGACAAGCGGGCTGAAGAGCGGGCATCTGAGAGTCCGAGCTCCAGTCCTTTCCTGATCTCCTTAGATTCCCCCAACTCCAGCCTTGCCCCTCCCACAGCCTCCTCCCCCAGACAAACCCCACCATCCTGCCCAAGCCCCAGCCATGCCCCACCCAGCCCCAGCCATGCCCCGCCCAGCTCCAGCCAAGCCCCACCCAGATTCCCGCCCTGCACTGGCCTCAGTACTGGTGAAGCCAAAGCGAGGCCCCACCCCCGGCCTCATATCAGCTCCACCCCAGGCCCCAACATTTAGTCCCCAGGCAAGTTCCCCCGCCAGGCGCTCCCGAAGCCACGCCCCCCGCCCCCACCAGGAGAGTAAGTCACCTGGGTCCAGCGGGCGGGGTCTGTGGGGGCGGAGGGAGGCTGGGGCGGCTAATGCTGAAGGGAGCGAACTGTCACCGAGAAAGCGGAAGACCCGGGCAACTGCAGACACACACCTCGCCCCTCACACTCAGCAAATCTCACAGACCTGCGTGTTATAATGCACACACCCCAGCCCCGCGCACAAAGGCACCCCTAACGAGCACATATATACACGAAACGGACCCCACGCACGCATGCTTGCAGGACTCACGCCCCTCCCTTTTCTAAATCTACTCTTGTGTGGGACCCAGCAGCATCAAACAGAACGATACGCTCAAGTAATTATAAAACGCGCCTTCATTGCTTGCAAAATGCAGTGTGGTCTTCTGAGGTGGGCAAGGCCCAGCTGAGAACCCTCAGATCTAGAGACAAAGCAAGGTCACTCAACTCGGAGTCACTCAACTGGGGGCCAGACGGGACTAGAAAACTCAGGTATCCTGGCGTCTGGAGGAAGGCGGGCTGCATCCCCTACGTCTGCAACCATCCTACTGGCAACATACATCTCGAGGCCCAGAACATACCCAAGGGCGGTGCGGCCACACAGAGTCGCAGACACTAGCCCAGCTAAGCCACACACAGACCCTCACAGCCGCCTGGTCCCGCGCCCACCACACTGACCACACCCACACAAGCTCAGACCTCAGCCTCGCCACGCTGGCCACGCCCAAACACTCGTCCCGCCAGATTCGCAGATCGGTGATGCCCAGACACTCCGGTCCCGCCCCCAAACTGACCTCGCCCACACAATCGTGCTTCATCCGCGCACAGTAATCTGCGCACCCTCACGCTCCAGCCGAGCCAGCGCTTTCCCCAACCCCACCACACTGGCCACGCCCACACACTCGGGCCCCGCCCCCGGAATCACAGGAGAGGCACTTGCTTTCACTGACTGAGGGCAGGGCTTGGGGCCCGCAGCACGGCAGCAGCTTGAGGAACCGCTGCTTCAGCGCTTTTTTAGTGGGCCCTGGAGGGTGGCCTGGGAAGAGAGAAGACCCCAGGAAGGCACATTAACCCCCCACGGTCCCTCCATCCCCTGTCCCCTCCCCGCCAGTCACAAACCAACCCCGGCTGGGCGGAGGGCATTGAGGAGGGTGGGAGTGGAATGGCAGGGTAGCAGGGGGCCGGATTATGGCAGCACAGTGGGTCTCACTTGTATGGAAAGCCTCAAAGCTGCTCAGGCACTTTGTATAATGGGACGCTGCCTGAGGACAGCAAGACGGCCAGAAGGCAGGGGGCAGTGAGGGTGAGGCCCAACCCAGGGACTGCCTGGATAGGAGCACCTCCTCTCTCTCTCACACGTACAGTGACAGGAGTATATAGCGATACTCACGTAGAGTGTTAAATCACAGATAGATGACATACAGTGACAGCCTGATAGCCAGTAACTCACTCACAACTGATGGCTTAAGTAGGTCCCAAAACACACACACACACACACACACACACTTTGACCTAGCACTCCTTAACACAAACATATACTAATATGATCTAAGTAAACAATGATACACACATATCGGAATCCATACAGGCCATCTTACACAGTGCACGATCAAACCATAGAGAACACACAATGACACTGGAACATCATGACATAGTATGTTAAGGACACTATTACATACACACTGAGACCTCATAACATTATGACACAAAAACCAGGGTCACCATGACAACTACCCATACTATATTGTGACCTAGGTGCTCATCGCACCCAGCTACCCAAGGCTGTACATCATCCAGAGCCCGCGTTTGTCCTCAGCACAACTACCTTTCCTTCCTGTAACCCTTCATTCCAAGGCACCCAGAATCTATCTGTCAGAGGTACAGGGTCTGATCAGCGAACTCATCCACCCTAAAAGTGTGGCCCTTCCCAGCCTTCCCGCTATGGCTTGTTCTTTGAAGGCAAAATGATAGCGTAATTTGAGGGAATAACAAACTTGTCTATCTCCCGGCTGTACCCACTCCCAGATTCCAAGACCAGAGCCCGGTACCAAACCTGGCACACTGGCTAAAGGTGGCCTCAGTCCACTCTAGCAGAGGCCCAACTTTATGTGTAGCTAACTTCCCCCTCCCCCACTTCAGCCCCCAAGCACACCCACCCTACCCGACCAGGCCAGGCCCTGCTCCTGAGGAGGTAACTTAATGAAGTCACCTTTATCTTCCCTGCCCCTGAGCAGGTCCCCCAATCCCAGAAGCTATAGAGAGGTGGGAGGGAGGCAGTAGGCCATGCTGGGGATCGGGGATCGATGGCAACCTGGCCCCAGGCCCAGGGCTCCATTAGCCTGGACTTTGGTTTCCTGAAGCCCGAATTGAATCTGGGGCCTGGGGTGGTGTAGTCACTGGTGGATGGGAAGGGGAGGCAGCTTCCAGTGCCTCTCACCCTAAGACTGACTACCTGCCTTCAGGACTTGGTCTCCTCTTGGTTCTTCAGAAGGTAATGTAAAGGGGCTGCCTTCAACCTACAGAATGCCTGGGTTTCTCTGGTTGCCTCCTTCCCCACCAGTCTAAAGGAGATGGCAAGCCAGAACCCAGTTGATTTCACCTTCTTGGGATTGGATGAGAACAAACTCAGCCCAGCATCCCGAGTTCATTTAGGTCCAAGTCCCTGCTCCCCACATACCCCAATAAACGTAGCAGAAGGTAGAGTGTGGGCTAGTTTTCTGCTCTTACTGAACCCTAGAACAAGCAATTCCTGGACATTCCTATGTCTCCAGCTTCCTCCACATCTTTCCAGTTCTACCAGGTGTCTACCCTGCAGCCCTCTAAACATGGTTCTTGCCTGTCTTCCTGTTCCAGGTGGAACTGGGGAATAGCCATGCTATGGAGCCACACAATTCTTGATGTGAAGAAAAGTGGGAGGCCAACCTCTCCAGGGAAGGTAGAGCATGCTTCCCTTTCCACTTGCAATATCACTCTCCAGAGTTGACTTTGGGGTGGGGTGGGATGGGGAATTGATTTTGCACTCCCAATGTTAATGACCTGGAGACAATTCTGCCCCTGGGTCCTGGAAGGAGCAAGGGGAGGCAAGGGGGCTTGAGAAGCAGGGTCCCTGATCTGACCTACCCCCAACGAGAGCTGAGCTATAAATGTCTCATTCACAGTGTTCCCACTCCTGTCCTTCCAGACTTCACCCCCATCCCAAGCCTTGGGTATGGAGCTGGTACATTCTCAGGAAGCTCTGGGAATAGCCACACATACAATCCAATACCCAAAGAGGCTCAGCCACACACTCTGTCCCCCTCAGGAATGCTCCCATCCATCATCTCACACAGCCAAACATACCCCGTCACTCTGACACAAGTACTCACATTCCTCTCACACACATACACATGATCACACACTTTGTCCTCTCTCACACACATTAACACACAGTCACACCCTGTAACCTACCCCTGCATGGTTGGAGATATGAAGAGCCACACACATCTTCAGAGCTGTCATGGGACTCGGTCTCCAAAAGGGTCTCCCCAGAAAACTGGTATTATCTCAGGACTCCTGAGCCTCCTTCCTCCACTCCAGACACCCCTTCCTGTTTCTAAAACTCCTCCTCATGTCCCCCAGACTCCCCTCACCTTCTCATCTCCACATCTGTCCCCCCACTCTTCACCCCTCATCACTTCCCACAGATGCCCCCCTCTCCCCAGATCCTATTCTCAAGGCCCCTCCTCACCTCTTGGAGATGCCCCCTTCCACCACTCTCTGTTCACTCCTGCCTCAGCCATGAAGGTGGAGTAACCTCCTCCCCAGCCCTCCCCATAAAGGTGGGGCAGCCGTCCCTCCAGCCCAGACATGCCCAGACACCTGGGTTACCTTCCAAGGAGACCGGCTCAAAGAGGCCAAACTGCTCCAGGACCTTGACAAACAGAGCTAGGACCACAAGCACAGCGACCATCTCCAGCCCTTCCAGGTTCATGCCCCAGGCCCCCACCCAACGGAGGCCCAGATGCGCCAGCCCGCCAGTCTCGTACCACCTCCGCCTCAGGCTCCCCGGCCGGAGTAGGACTGCCTGCAGCCTCCCTCCGCCTCCCTGCCCTGGATCTCCTCCCTCTCCTCCTCACCCCGCCTCTGCCCTACACGCCTCCTAGCCACAGCCTCGCCTCTTCCTCTTTCCGGGGTCACCTCAGCCTTTGGACTGGCACCTTCTCGGGAACCTTTGGCGCAAAGGATACTGGCCAGGTTGGGCCAAGCCAGAGAAGGGAGGCAGTGACCTGCCTCTTTCCCTGAGGACAGCTTCCCCAGACACCTTTGTGGCTACTCTGTGCAAGAAGAGGGCGCAGAGAGAGAAGCTACC